TAGTAGTAGTAGTAGTAGTAGTAGTAGTAGTAGTAGTAGTAGTAGTAGTAGTAGTGGCAGTGGCAGTGGCAATGGTAGTGGTAGTAGTAGTAGTAGTAGGAGTAGGAGTAGGAGCAGCAGCAGCAATAGCTAGCAGTAGTAGTAGTAGTGGTAGTAGTAGTAGTAAGAATAAACGAAAAATTGACCTGCTTGTAGGCTCGGATTAACTGGGGGGATTTCTGGTAGAAAACTAGACCATAGGGGGGGAAATCAACAACCAATCCTACTTTTAATTTGGGCAATTTCCGGCGGCTTTGTGGGCTCGGATTAACCAGGGGGGATTTATTAATCCTGACTTTACATTACTGACACCTTTTCAACCACCCCAACTGATTGATTAAGTATGCCAGTCCCAGACAGGTCGTGTCTGGGGAAGGTCTTCTGTCGAATCCTGCTGCTCGGGGGGGGGGCGTCCCAGCCTCAGGTCACCCAGTTTTCTGGGAGAAGCTTAAAGGACACATGAAGCCATTCCGACCTGTACTAAAAACATGTATTGATTGACCCCTGTTTTGGAGCCAACACATGGTCTTTTCATAAATATCAAAACGGTCAAACGGGGTCTAGGTATATGTGTGTGCAAACAAAACTGCACAGCATTTAGACGATCTAGTCCCAGTGAGTGAGCCGGACACAATTACTGCACTCTTTTCCTCTTCCTCTGAGACTGGCCATTTGGCTCCGGCTGTTGTGACCATGATGTTTTAAAGGCAGGGGGCTCCAAATCCCACCTCAAAAGGTCACCTGAAGTCGACCCTCTTTTTCGTACGGAAGTCACCATCGTGCGCCACACCTGTCACACCATGTCACACCATGACCGACCTCCTTCGGGTCGACGGGACCCGACGGGACCGTGCCAGCCAATTCGCATCTGAACGGTCACCGGGTCCCCCACCGAGCCCGAAGACAGGTCTTAAGGCCTTGGACCCACCTCGGCACCGAAACGTCGAGCTCAGTAAACTGGTCGGTGGGTCGCTTCGCCGCCCGGTTTCGGTGTGTTTCTACCGTCTCGGAAAAAGGTCGGAACAGGCTGAACAGGCCAAGGACATTCGAACGGAACCCGCCTTGGAGATGCTATCGTTGATCTCCTTCACCACCTGGAACAATGAAGCAAAGCCAGCGATGGATGTCGCATCTCTGAAAGTTTTTGTTGAAGAGAACTCCTGATTTATGTGTGCTGTATGTCCCAAAGAATCGGCTGGACTAAACACTTTGCCACGTGGAATTCGAAGGCGATTCTGCGTGGATTGATTTCTGGGATCGTGACATCTACCTCCTTAGGCTTCCAATACTTTTAAATGGTCGACCTGGTGTTGTAGTGCAACAATGTGTAAAATCCTGCAGTAAAACTATAGTAAAACAATGCATGTCTGTAACAGTTTCAATGAATGGCGGTTGGAAGCCTAGGGCCTGGATCCTTCATACATTAAGACCACGGACCTCGACCCGAACCAAGCAACAGGTACCACATGCAGGGGGGGCCCACGTTTTTTGTCATTCTCGCGCGTGTATACAACCCCACGGATCGACGTCCAACTTGGGTCGTCCAATGATCTTATCTCAATCATCTTTTGCTTTGACTCCAACTGAACAACCATCAGAGGTAGAAGAGAACAGCTGCCTCTGAGTGATTCAAGATGCCAAAGGCTCATCGGGTTTAGGGTTTTTAGGGGTTAGGGACTTGGGTTTCTGAGTGATCTGGGACTCGGAACCCTAACGAACTGCACCACATCGGGGACTTTCGGTTTGGGTCATGGGACGCCGGGACTCTCCATCGTTTTATCTCCGGGTGACATGGGCTTCTGTGAGGGTCGGAGCATGTTGGAGCCGGTCCCTACGGGATCCGGTCCTACTGAACCCAATGACAGTTTACTCCTTATAGCTTGATCAAATGGTATCGTGCTGTCTATTGCTTCGTATATGATCTTGATGATTCTGATAGATAATGACTGATAGGTATTTATGAACAAACTGGACAGAAGCAAACTCATTCTCCCAAGCCACTTGACTCCATCACCTTTCCTCCGAAGAACCGCCAAAGAGTCTGCCTATAAACATCGCACACCCCCCTTCGCTCGCTTCTCCTTCACCCCATGCCTCCGCCCACAGCCCTGCCCGACCTGATCAGCCTGTGCCTTGTTCTTCTCTGCCTCCGCCAAGCGCGACGTGGCCTCCACCAGGGCGAAGGCGAACGAGGCGACACGGTCACGGTCACGCAACGGTCACGGAAGAAGCTCCCATGGTGCTTCTTTTGGAAACTGAAATTAAATACCGGGCTCCTGCTTCTTTTGTGCGGGAATACGATAGAACGTTCTGCTTTTGTGTCCTTTTCCACCAGAATCAATCTACTCACGCGCATCTTCCACCTTGCATCGAGCTAGGTCGGCTAGGTCTGTGGGAACCTCCACGCCACAGAACACAATGGGAACCTCGTTGTACTTGGCGATGGCATCTTCAATGTCCGACTGGATCTCCTGAGAAGCATCGGGCGCATCTCAGAACAATGCCATCTGTGAACATCTGAAGAATCCTCTGCAAGCTGCCGAAGGTTTGGTGTAAAGAGAAAGTTCTGAATTATGCAAAAATTGTCTTTTGGGAATTTCATGCAAATTCCCAAGCCAGTGATTGATTCAGCCACCCACAGGGGTACCTGGGTACCTCCAGTTGCTCTTGCAGGCTCCACACGTACTGCCATTTTCAAATGGTCTTCACTGGGGGCGAAGAAACATATATATATATATACAACAAATGTAAGCATCCAATCGAATGGTTTTGGGGTCTTGGAGAAGTCAAAAGATGTCAAAAGTATCTGCGTGAATGTACATTCACTTGGCCTCTCTCTATGAGGTCACTGCTCCGCACTATGTGGTCCCTGGATCCAAATCTCTAAATCTGGGTAGAGTTCCCAGGTGGACAGCCCTTTCAAAAAGATGTCTGGCGGGGGGACTAAAGATTTTGGGAAAAGTACCGTCATGAACCAGGACAATATATAGATTTTATATATGTACATAATACAAATAATACATACATACTATTACCCTCCCTGCAAGAACAATGGAAATGAAGTTCACCCCTTGTTTGTAGAGAATGTCATGGTCTTTGCAAGGGCTGAGACGTCTACTTCCATGATTGTTGGAGTTAGATCTCAAGCTGATCTCGGGGTGTGTGAGTACTGCCAGCTGCCATCAGCTGCCCAAAAAGGTCTCGGAAATGGATTTCAAGTTCCAAGTGCTATACAGTATAATATCTCCTGCACATTGTATTTATAGCTCTACCACATATATAGATAGCATCTATACACACGCGATGTCCTAGAATGTTGTAACTATGACACAACAGCATACGTAGACTCATCCCGGGAGTTTGCTCTCAACCCTGTCTCCCGGTCTCCCGCCCTCAGGCCTTCTCACGAGATGCCATGGACTCACCGAGGACCGGGGAGAGGAAATAGAAGAGGCCGGCGATCAAAATGGAGATGTTGACCAAGTTGATATCGGGGATGTTCCTGAATCAACACTGGGGGTGCTTTTTCTCGTCACCGGCCATCTGGGCTCCGATTTGGCTTCGTCGTTTTTGGGTTTAGGGTTTAGGGTGGCCCGATTTGGGGAACAGACTGGTTCATCGTCCAGTGGTGAACGGCCATGGGGTGACACCTCTCCACCGAGGTTTGATGAACATGTCGCAGTGTCCATCTCTACATCTGCAAGAACAAACTGCATGATCGGTCGTATGCTGATCTTTCTGGGTCTTCTGAACTGGCAACACGGTATTTTCAAGGCAACAAGGCTCAGCCTCGTCTGAGATAATTTTGGCATCTCAGCTGCTTAAGTCGATTCCGAAGAGAGCCCAAAGGGGATGAGGTATACGAGGGGCACTAACAGAACAACACACAGAACATCCCACTCGATATTCTTTGAGCAAATGGGACTCACATTATGTACGGGTACAGTGGTCATTCTCATCTCCACGTGATGAAATTTGATGTGAATCCATGCCACCCTTAAGCAAGCAAACCTCAGCAGTGCAAACCTATTTTCTGCTAAAGAACTTTCTGAAGACCTAAATCACGCTTCCCAACTTCTAGGAAAGCAGGTGGCAATGGGATTGGGCCACTATAAACCAATTGTTCCAAATCAAATTACATAATATGCTTATCATGGTTATCATTGTTGACCCAGCAACACCTAGAAACAGTGTATCAGTGTAATTCCAGGTTGATCCCAATGACACACTAACTAACTGGTCCAAGGAAGGCCTAACCCTAGAGCTTCATCACCACTGTCTAACTCTCGTTCACCACAGGTAGCTGAAGAACATCCTACAACACATAAGAATCATACCATCTTGATGCTCCATTTCCCTAGGGATGTTAATGCATGTCAGTGGCTGGATGAGTTGGTGTTGGTATTGACAAAAGGATTCTCAAAACCCCTGTCGTATCGTAGACGCTGTGAAATTGTTCATCAACTGCAGAACCCCAGAAAGTGTTTATGTTCTTCGTCCGATGTGGAACCACAACACTGAACTATAGAAATGTCAGTAGATTTTTTTGTTCTAACAATAGATTATAACAAAAAGTAATATTATATAATTAGTAAAGGAATGTAAAGGACATGTTACATGTGTTACAGCTTTCGATATAGTTCCTTCAGAACTCTTGGCTCAATATCCCAAAGATTGTTTATAGGATATCATTTAGACTCTTGATGAATGACCCCCCATATGAAGAGGTTGCAATCGATTTTTAGTGAATCAAGAGGCTACATTAGAAACCCGCGTTGGGGATTTGAGCACCAGACCGCCAAGAGCGGGGCCAGGTGGATCCCATCTATTGATCCAAGTCGCAAGTTCAGCGCAAATCCGCCGCCCAGCTCCACCTCCAGTCACGAGGTTTTCTCACGACGTCAGGAACACGTGGAAGTGAGACCAGGTTCTTCTCCACCCACATCCAAATCGAACGGACTCCTTGAGCCCGCATCCCCCAGCTCATCCAAGCGCGCCTTGCCAAAGTCCAACAAGCCACCGCCCTCAGCCGCCTCCTCCGCCAGCGCGGGCGCCGCCAGGCCGGCGGCGGCCGCCAGGCCGGCGGCTTGCGCGGCGTTGGCACGCCGGGAAGCGCCCTTGGAGGAACGGACCAACATGCGAAAGTTTCCGAGAGTTGTGGTCCGAGAGTCTCCGGGATAGCATGAGAAAGCCCTGTGATGGATGGCTTTGGGTGGGTCAATCTGAGTCAGACATCGGAGAGTTCAGTGTACCGAATCCTAAGGGCTGGCTGCGCATGGCCGCGGGTGATAGACAATGGCATCAGTCAAATCAGTGATACATGGCAAGTGAGAAGACGGAAGAGTTCTGGGGCCCATGGGGCTTGGCATGTTCCATGGGGCTGTCGGATGTCTTGACCTTAAGACCTCCTGGCCTACAGAAAGTCAAGAACCATTGGCGCCATTCAAACAGTGTTGAAACCGACACGAAAACCGGTCGTACGTCGTACTGGAGCAAGCTCAGAAAGTCTGGCAAGGGCGGGACAAGAACCCAGGATTCACAGCATGGTAACCATGAAATCATATAGTAGGATCCTTGCTGTATAGTATTTGGTCTAAACATATGTCAAATCCATTCAAATCCTCGGACTCCAACCACAACTGACAGTCTTGAACCAAGTAGACACAGCAGGGACCAGGGAATTGCAAGACTTTCGGAGGGTCACAAGACTTGGTTGGTGGGAACATTCCTTTCAACATGTGTTATGGAATCTATGGAAGTGTCTGAAACATTATTTAGCACTCAACGCTCGCAAACGCTCGTCTCCCAAAAGAGGAAACACTCCAGATATTCTGCTCTGGATCGACCCGAACGAAGAAAGGCATGTTTGGCCATCTCCTGAAAGAACTGGCAAGCTTAATTGCTTCACCACGAATTCAATGGGCACCCATAAAAAAGAACATCCGATCCATCCCAGAAATTATCTGACCCCCCTGTCTCGATAGCGAAAGGCGAGGTTTTGGCAGCGCTCCAAAACCAAGGTTATTTGGCTAATTGCTGAGATACTGAACCAAACTGTGTGGGACAAGATTCAACCCTGGCTTGTACTGGCGATGTCGGGTCACATCATCCTGAACGGTACAGAATTGCTCAGTGCATCCCTTCGACAAGAGTCACTGGACTCTCTGAAATCATGGAAGTGGAGTCCACGCAAACATGTTCATCCGACCCATGCCATCCATGGGTCAACGTGGTACAAATGACCCCCCGTTTGAACCAGACATGCCCGTTTCGTGTCCGTTTGGGCTTGGTGTGCTGCCGATCGCCGGACCGACCGGGGGTCCGTTCACGAAGGGAGTCTCGGTCTCGGTCACTGTGAGGTCACTGGAGTCACTGTGAGGTCTCGGAAAACACTTGGGGAATGTCCGAACAGGTAAGCTTGAGCCGTGAGCCTCCCAGAATCCTGGCAGAATCGCAGAATCATGCAGAAGCGACAAACGACCTTCAATCGCTTCAATGAAACGCACTGCCTGAAATTGTGTGCACCCTAGCTTGAAGAAGAACCATTGTTTTGTAGTCTTAGTCTTAGAGATCCATTGTAACACCGTTTGTTTAGCACAGTGTAAAGGCCATTAGAACAATGGCTGTCGGAATCCCAGGGTGTATATTGTAATATAGTTATTCCTCACTGATCATAACGCAAAAGTACAATCCTCAAGATGGTGCGTTCTGGGCCAGGATGCTACTCTACCCAGCTGGTGGCCCCCTCGCCAACCTGTCCGTTCTCTTCTTGGGAGTCCACGCCGGCAGGAAGGCCAGGGAGCTTTGGATGAGCAAGAACACCTGGGACATCCGGCAACGGTGAGGGAAGGACACCTGGTCTAGTTTCTGGACATGGATTCATGGGATACAAACTGGACATCTTTCTTTGGCATCCAACCTCTAAACATATTTAAACGATATTCTAAAATCATTCAAACAGCTGCAACCAAACTACTTACCAGGATCCTCCAACATGGGTGGGTGTCTCGGTCCAGTCGACCCGCAACACCCAGTACCAGGATGACCTGATGGACCCGTGGAGTGAATCAGCTGCGAATCGGTCGACCCCGTGACAAGAACGGTCTATCTATCTTGGGGTCAAGTTCTTTGAGCACTACCAGGCGCCTCTTCCATGCGAAGGCCCGAACACCACATAGCTTAAGGGAGGCTGAGAACCATGTGCAGTGGCTGTTTTTGCTCGTTTGTCCCTTCAGTTGAATGTTGAAATTCCTTCTTCATGACATTACAGTAAATTCATAGTAAACCTTCATCCAAGTGATCCCCAACAAATATACCACAAAGCCTTCTCAACCTGTATGTGGATCTCGATAGGGTCTTAAAACATCTATTTACCATCTATTGTCAAGTCTCTTGAACCATCGATATCCTCCTTGCAGTCATCCTCAATTGAACAGGACCTTTCTGGAACTGCTCTCTCTCTCTCTCTATAATATATATATATTGCTCTATATATATATTATCGATACCAGTAATATCGAGTAATAAATAATAATTGCGGCTGTTGTATATTTATATATAGTTATATAGATATTCTATGATATACTGATGTACTGTATAATACTCTTCAGGATGATGCACAAATCACTTCCCCCTCATCCTCCGGGTCACGGCGGCAAAGGCCAAAATCAGCGCAAGGGCACGGGCGCGGGCCATGGCGGGGTCGGAGGTACGTTGGATGTCGCGGTGCTGAGAAGGGCCGGTGTCCTTGAGCGCAGAACGGAGCAGAACAGCACCGTTAACCGCGGGCGACTCATGCGCCAAAAGAACTTCAGCGACGAAGCGACGGAGAAAAAAACCAAACATGGCTGCCAGGGGTCCATCTTCAGAAGAAACACCAATCCATTTGATGCAGTATCCTCTCGGCTCGCGATGAAGATCATTATGGATTGGATTTCGAGCGTCGTATGTCAACCCCTTGAAGCATCTGAAAGGCTTACAAACAAGATCGTGAGAGTGATGTCTCGCGAGAGTCATGTCTCAGATTTCTGCGAGACCTTCCGCTCTGTCTGATTCCATCTAATTAGGCGATCTATAGGCATCAAAACGTGGTTGGAGCAATGATGCTGGTTTGGTCACACTTGCCTATTCCTCAATCATTAATCAAACGACTAATAGTAAATGGCCATCTGTGGGTCAAAGTAAGATTGGATTTCAACCGCACCGCTAAGCACCTCCAGGAACAAATTGCCCCGCACGGATGCCCAAATTCCAAAGAGCTCGAGCAACTCCCACACGTCCCGCAGCCTTGAATCTCGGCCATCTTTGCAGAAGCTCGATCGCCATGACCGCCTTTGTGGTCCCCAAACCCGTTTTGGGGAGCACACTGACTTCACCACTGGTCACCTAGCGGACCTAGCTAGTCCTCCCGACACCGCGCCATCCTCACCACACCCATCGGCAAACCACGCGTCGTGCCACACGGAAAAAGAGCTCGTGGCCTCGAGCACCTCCAGGTGTTCACGTCGCCTGAAGTCGAGAAAAAGAAGACAAGAAAGATCAAACAATTAAACAGGTCACACACTGAAGACCATACTATACAAAATGAATGTGTTGTGTTCTTCTTAAACAAATCCACCTGGTTCTTCAGTTCGTGACCGAACTTGATCCCGATTGCTTCGGTCACCTGCCGGGCCTGTGACAGGTCGGCTGGTGGAGGTAACTGAAGAAGCTGGTACGCAGCTTCGTCAACAGGGTGTTCATTCCCAGGTGTTCACTTAGCTGTGCTCAACTTGGTGCATGGTGAGAGGCTGAGAGGTCACACAAATCTGCCTGATCACCTTGAGTGCATTGATGAGCTGCGAAATGTGCTTTTCTCTATACCAGCCATGCACATACACCTACTACCCTGGTCCTATGTTCTTTATGCACCATGCAGAGGAATCAATTCGCAATAAACCTACAAAATAATGGAACCCTTTCTTCCAAAAAAAGCACATAAACACAAGCAAGACACAAGCAAGCCAGCAAGCAAGACAGGATTTTGTGCCCGCCTTGAGACACCCCGAGACACCGGTCACAGAAAAAGATATGGCATTCTGACACACCCAGCTTTCCAGTGTTTGGTTGTTCGGTATGGATTCTTTGACGTTCGCTTGGAAAAACCTTGCCGCTTTGGCTTTGCAAATCCACCTATGCCTCGTTCCTTCCATTGTCCCAGCTCTTCAGTTGGCTGAGATCTGGGCGGGCTTCTTTGGGCTGCCTCAAGATGAGATCGCAAGCGGTATGGCACATGCTGTTTTGAGCATCATGAATCATGTCTGCACAACCCCAGGCCTCCAGTCGTACCTTCTGAGAAGGTGGGACTGGGGTGGGTTTGGAAAGTCCAGTCATACCTTGTGAGGAGGTACGACTGGAGGCCTAGGGCAAGAACAACCTTGAGTCCTTGGCATCCGAAGAGTGTGTGGGCTTGAGCTTCATTTGTTTAAAATCTTGGCAAAGCAACTCCTTACGTAGTTCGTGTTTAGACAACAAGTTCACTTACTCCTTTGGAGAACATATACTTTCACAGTGCCACTCATACATATACTTCTCCCAAAATACCCCCGCAGTGACCTTTATGTTCAATATACCTTCAAAGTTGCGGAAACATGCGGAAACCAAACAAACACACCAAAACACGCACCATGCCTCGCCATGCCTCGCCGTTTGCCGTTGTCCGTTGTCCACGCCTCATGGGCCTCCTTGAAGCTTCGCACCGCGTCCAGACCTGGAAGTCTGGGTCCGTTTCGGTGGAGAGCACCAGGCCGTTTTCGCTGCACGAACTCCCGCCCATATTCTTACAATAGTAGCGATGGGCTCCAACCTACTAGTAGTAGCTTCTTGCTAGTAATTGTAATGCCAGGAGCTACGTTCGTAGCTTCTTGTTAGTAGCTTTGGCTGTTGAGATGTACTGTGGGGAGTATACCGTGATGGCCGGTGTCCGCAACGGTGGTTCCAGGAGGATTTAAAGAGGGAGATCCAACTGAACAACGTGTTGATGATCATGCAGACAGCTCGTACCTTGTCTTTATATAAGCCCTAGGAACCGCTCCGGGAAAACAGCCATTGGATCCCTCAAAACCCAGGGATTGCTTCGACCCCAGACACCTGACCAGTTCGGATTCGACCCCCACCTGACCAGTTCGGATGCGGGGGCCGGTCTCGGGTTCACATCTGGGTCGGTCCCATGTTCTCCTCGAAGTACGGGCCGCTCAAGGGAGACCCTTGGTGGGTGATGCGTATTGGTCAGTAGCTTGATTCAGCGCTGTCTTGCTTCAGTGCGGCTCCACATGATGGAGAATTTCCTGGAGTTCACCACCAAATCTGGTTGGCAATCATGGTTCTTCAGGATTCGATCCGTCATTTTCAGGCAACCGGATGGCGGACTCCTTTGGGATTCCATTTGGACCGACACGATCGCCCAGATGCCATGGAGTGGAGGCCCCGTCATGGGCACGCGGTGCCGGCGCCTCGGACACTGCACATCCCTAAGACTCCAACAACATCCTGAGAAGGTATTTAGACCCCCCAGGCACCCACCCTAACCACCTTCTCAGGAGCTAGTTGGAGCCCGGGGGGGGCCCTAGTGCATGTTCGAACATGTGGTCTCCACCCGAATCTGGTCTCCAAGACATGCAGAATAGGGCTTTCTCCAACATGTTCTCCAAGACATGCAGAACAGGGTTATCTTTATCTATGATGATCTCTTAAACCCGGGATCCATACCTTCTTTTTGGTACGGTGATGATGTTCGACACTGGGGCATGTAGGTGCCAGAAGGGTCCATGTTTCCCTTCTGAGGAAGTATGTAGGACTGGATTCCTAGGGTTTCTGCTGTACCCAGTGAATCTCGATTACAGCCACTAGTCACTAGTAGTAAGGAACTGCATGGGCCCGACCCTCCAACCCTTCGGCCGATGTTTCTTTGGAAGTCCCCCCGGTGACCAGCGGAAAAAAAAAAAAAAAAACCGTTGTAACTGGATACACAGATAGGGAGGTAGGCTACCAGCACCGCACGACCCCAACAGTCAAAATACGGTTCAAGGAAATCGCTTTTTTGGACGGCTTCAACACCCAGATGCACATGGTGTTCTGGGATGGTTGCAGCACTGGCAGCGTAACAAGTCCATCCCAAAATGGTTTCATGGGAAGTCCTTCCGCAACATCCTTGTTTGTATTGAAAACCTCTTGTCCTTAGAGAATATTCAAAGTGTTGGGGTTTCTTGCATGAGTTGCCGCCCTTGCAAACCACCACGTCAAAAGACCATGCATGCACGGGTGTTCCGTTCCCAATGGTTTTGGATGGTCTGAGACGCCCGGTAGACTTCCTTCGCTTTGGTGGCCACAATTCATACACACACGCGGACAATTCCGGGGCAATACCAGATTTCTGTCGATTGCCCGATTCGTTGAGGGCGACCGGTCATTGTGGCTGAACGTCTGGGAGGGACGCTTTGACTCAACTTGAACCGCAACATGGTCATGTATGGTCATGTAACCAACATCGACTTGACAGTGATATTCTTTTCATATCAAGGCCATAGACTTCGGAGAATCTAGGCTTTGCCTCTTTTTCTCCGTGCGTTTCTCTAGGCAGTGGACATTAAGAGCTTCTCCCCTTTACATGACTTTAATGTTCAAGTCCACTCAATCCACTAACAGTGTGTGCGTGTGTTGTATGTGTTGTATAACATAGTTACGAAAAACATGGTCAAAAGCAACTATTGAAAACAAGGGCATGTGTTTGCGGGACCCTGTTAGAGAAAAACACATACATATCATACATAAGATGTAATCAATGCTCTGCAACACTAGCCACCTTTCACAGGTTTGTCCAGAAAAGAAATGGTCCAGTCCAGCCACCAAGCTCTCAACATGTTGAAGGCCAAGCTCTCAGCCTTTGCCTCATGTCAAGTAGTTCATGAGAGCCGGTGTGTCATGGGAGTGACTCTGTTGACATCGGCAACTCCTGGTTCATTATGGTTCATTGCTGCGTTCATGTTCAGGCCACATCCAGCCGAGTTTGGCCTCATACTCGACAAGTCCGCCCGAGTATGACGACTGTCCCCACAATGACAAGGATGGGCAGAAAGACCCCATGCTGCAACGCTCCATGCACCTCCTTCACGTTGTGAGCTTCTACTGAACCCAGCCTGGGGCAAATCAACCACTATGTTGTTCCTGTTCTTCACATCTGCAGTGCTGCAGTGCCATTCTGCGGCACCCCATTGATGCGCTGGCCAGCAACCAACTGCCAAACTTGTAGACTCAGGGAGGTTCATCTGATGTTTCTACACACATCATTTTCCGTAAGAAGAGAAAAACCGTCCAAGCTTTGAATGTTCAACTGTCCAACCATTGGCTGTCCCACCAAACAATCAAAGAGGCTCCTTTGTTTCATGGAACTGGCGGTATGTTGAGAAATGCCGTGATATGAAGACGTGGAAGCTGCAAACGAAGTCAGCCACGTAGAAAAAGGTCGATCGAAATCGAAGGCAAAGGACGAATCGAATCGTCGCACCCGGGACGCCCCTTTTTGGCAGTTGAGCCCGCCCTCTGCGAGCGGGTGCAGTGAACAAACGTGACACACAGCGTGTGTCTTCACACGGAGGGAAAAGTCATTGACGCCAGGTGGTTGGAGGCGTCATCAAGCCACTGGTGCATATCATCATGTATGCACCATCCTCCTGGGTAAAAATGCCTGAAAGGTGGAGGATTGCAGCCTGCACAGTAAGCGCAGCCCCGAACGACCACCAGATTGTGTTCGGCGATCTGGGGAGTGATGTGGCATCCTGCCACGTGCCAGCAGTCTCCTTTCTTCGAGACATCTGTGGTGCTCCATCTCTTTCTCAAGGGCCTGAACCAGGCTGTAGCCCTCCTGAACGATCCTTCGGAGTTCGTTCAGCTCTGGCTCCTGAAGAGCCA